GGGAATTTGACATCTCAAATTTTGCCCTGGCAAAACAGTTAATTACTCTACCCTGTTTGTTTTCTGGTTTTTTAGTGCCTAGAGAACAGTGGGACAAGCTGACATTGCTAACAGAAGAGCACCAACCCTCAAAAACAATGTGTTTGAACAAATAAAGGAGCCAAGTGAAATCTTTTATTTCCTTTAATCTTTTCTGACTACAACGTCCACAATTTTCTGACTAAACCAATATTTTTCCTCCGACTTTTCATTGTGAAAAATGAGTCATTTTTAAGCAAATTGTTAACAATTATATTGTGTATCGATACGACACAGCAACAACTGCTAATTTTATTAAACAGAACTTGTTGCTACTAAAATCCAACCAGCATCAAGGAAAAACAATGAAGCCAGGTACAATCCCAGCTACTAAGAAAATACTAAAAACTAAGGAGACTACTCAAGTGCTAAATATTGCTTGGTTGAATAGAAGTTCTTAAGGGAATTACTTACAGCAAAACCAAGCATGGCAACGCGTCCAACAAAGAGCTCATTTTCCTTGGTAAAACCAATCCCTCCAGAGGTGCCAAAGATACCATCTTCAACCTTTTGCTTTGGTGGTGCTGCAACCTTTTAAAGCACAAAAATAAATAAAAATGAAGTTAATTAAAACCCAATCAACATATATTAGTGATAACGAAAAAAACAACATCCCCCTCCCACAAACAAAAAACAAAAAAAAAAAGAATACCCTCTTGGGAGCTGCCTTGGTCTTTGGTTTGAAGACTGCAAAAGTGGTAAAACCTCTAGATGAAGTAGCAACACTGTCAGAGAGTGGGTTCAATAAGAAATGAGAGAAGGGTTTAGGCTTTAATCCTTGAGCTTGGAATTGGAGTAAAGGGTGTCCTCTCTTCAAGTTCACTACATGGCTAGTTGATACACTAGTACTAGACATGAGCAGCATGGTTTGAGCCATTGATTCCTCTCTTTGATAACCTTTTCTGATGGTGTAGAACTATGTTACTAAGCTGTTCTTTTCGCTACCTCTTAATGCTTATGTGTGCTTTTAAAGGTCAGAGCTGTGGATGTGGTGCGAGAGCTACTGAGAGGCGATTAAAATGCCCACGTCGTGCGGTACTTGTTTTTGGTGTTTGAGATAATTTCATGCACAAAATAATATGACAGAAATATTGAATATTTTTCCTCAATCAACACAATCCTTAACTGTCTCTAAACCTTTTGTAGCCCTGAAATTTATAGCCACATAGTTTTCATAATAATTTTATTTTTTGAATTGCTACATTATCTATAATGATTTAACTTATTAAAATAATAACAATATTTCAAATGATTTAATTTGTTCGCATTGCTAATAATTACTATTTTAAAATCAAATAAAATATTATTTATTGGTAATTAAAATTTTTTTTAGCAATTTAACTATTTCCTTGCTGTAGCTATCTTCAATTTTTTTCAACTTTAACGGACTCTAAAAATCTCATTGATACGTATCACCTAATCTGAGGGTGCTTCCTGTCTGCAAAAATCCGTGGTGAAGATGCATAGGGATCTAGAGTTTTCTAGACAAAAGCCACCATGCCACATGTCATGGTGTTTTTCGCTTTGGTCGAATTCAGACATGGCTAGTTGTCTGAACCAAGTCAGTTCGCCCAGTTATTGGAGATGTGAGCCACGCGGTCTCTCTGTGTTCTGTTTCCCATCCTGGAAAGATACAGCATGCGACAAAGGAATCCAGAATATACTGACCTCTCCTGATTTGACACGTTTCACAAGCATGCAATCC